GCGTGTATAGTCCACGTCGTGACGACAATAGTGAGTGCCCCTATAAACCAGGACCTGTTCTTGGTGCTTGGCATACAGCATTTCACTTGAATCTCACATGAACACACTAGAAGGCAGGAATCAGTATTGTTTGCTGGTGAAGGAACCGAGGTTCAAGTAACTTGACTAAAGTGGTTTGGCTGGTAAGGCGGAGCCCTGGGATGCAGAACTGCCCACCTCCAGCACGGGCTCTCAACTCCCACGTTGCGCTGCCTCAGGATGGGCGCCACACTGTGGGCTGCCTGTTCTTGTGAACTAGTGTCGAATCAGGGCTTGTCTAACCACCTTGCACACTGCATGGTTCTCCACAGCGGACACTGAATCTTCATTTTTACTGACAGTCTTCACCTTCTGTCATCCTAGATCATATGGGAACCCCAAAAGCAGTACTTGTCTACACCGTGTCCAAACTACTGCTTGGCTCTCAGAGGAAGAAAACGACAGAGGAAATAGCAGGCATCCTAGTGGCAAGCAGATCACTAAGGTAAGGCAGCACAGGAAGACCACTTCTGCATGTTACAAGACAGAAATAAGAAGCTACGTAAAGAATGCTGACAGCACATTGTTTAAATGGGGTTGTGGGGGCAGCAGAACTGCTTCAGTGAAGAAGCTGATGTGGTTCACCCCTGAACATACCTGCTTCAGTTCTGGCTTAGTAACTACTCAACATGGGTAGTTCTATCACATGTTCCATGTAGTTAAGTATGAAACAGAAGGCCCTATTTGAAATTTTAAGTGATATGGGAAAAAAAACAATAAAGAACTTCTATCTTTCACACAGTAACTAGAGATTCTTTCTCAAACCCCACTCAGTTCAGATGTGCACTGGGCTTCAGCAAACTACTTTACATATAATAAGCTCTTCCTAGTCCACCTCTAGTACAAAGACTACAGGATGAAAGAATAGATTGTGAGAACAACACAGTTGTGAGGGAAAAGGAAAATTTAAGTATTCTTTTCACTACCAATGACTTCTATGATCTTTTATAGAAAAGCCATGTCTTTTAAACATAAGGACAAATTAATACATGCTGAGAGCATTGGCCTGCACTGTCCAATATGGTAGCCACAAGCCACACGTGGTTACTGAACACCTGAAATGTGGCTAGTCCCACACTGAGATGCATGCACCAGATTTCAAACACTTGGTACCAACAAAATGTAAAATATCAGTAATTTTTGATATTGATTACACATTGAAATGATATTTTAGATACATTGTGATAAAATATATATTATTAGAATTAATTTCACCTGGTTCTTTTTACTTTTAATAAGGCTATTGGAACATTTTAAATTATGTATATAGCTTCTTACATTGTATTTCTAATGGATAGTGATGGTATCAAATAGGCTGTGGAAAAAGTAGAGAAAAATTTCAGTTGTGATTCAGTATACTGTTAAGATTTGTTAGGGTTCATAACTGTTACAAAGAGTTCTGTTTTCCAGATGATGGTTATTTCTGGTGTTATATAAACACAGGATTTAAGGCCAGAGTAGCTTAGCTGTGAGTATGATCTTTGCCACTGACCAGCTTTGAAGTCAAAGACTTCCTAGCCACAAAATCTTGGGTAAGTGACTTAACAACTCAGGGCCAACATACCTCCTAGTCCTATTATGAGGGTTAAATGTAATAATATAAAGAGCCTAGCATTTCAAATGGTAAAATTATGATTCTCTCAATAAAATTTCTGTGATCTGCTTTTAACACATTTTGGTGGCATTTAATTTAAAAAAACAACAACAAAATTAGTGGCCTGTTGTCATTTTTAAAGATTTCAGCTTCTAAATTTTAATAAAAAGGAATGTATTGAGATAGAGCAGGGGCATAGGATGAGAATCATGATTAATTTTTCCTGCCTATGATGAGAAAGGTCGAGATATAAATAATATAGTAAGAACAGAAGGGACTCCATCTTAAGGCTAAGATTCTATTTAAAAACCAGGGAGTTAGGAGGTAAGATTCCTAACATACTTTATGGTAATGAGCTAACAATCAACCCTATCTAAAGGCAGGGAGAACAGCTCTATAAACAGTGTGTTTCCACTGCTTGAGGGTCACCACTGTCTTGGAGAACAGCGTCAATAAATTCCTTGGGTTAAGCTTATCTTACAGAAGAGTATCTAGAGGACTATGGATGATGACATAATGTCTCTCGTCGGAGACAGACATCATGAGACCACAGGTCAAGCCTATGCCCCCAGGCCCTTTGCCCCCTCCTTGAAATTCTTAAAAGACAGAAGCCTAAGCCTTATTTAGGCACACCTCTTCTTTAAGGCTGCCCGCACTCCACCTTCTTTGAGTGTGTATTTTGCCTTTAATGAAGCTTTCTTGCTGCTCAACTTACTGCATTTTATCTCTGCGTTCCTCCAGTGTTAAGCATCTTTGTTACTTCACTATTTCTTCCCACTTTCTAGACTTAAGCACTAGTTTTCACTCTCTCTGTTCTATTCCAGACAAGTAGGGAAGGGCTTGGGCTTGCAAGTTCCCATCACCTGGGTGACCTGGAAGAGACTGCAGAGACTGCAGCTGTACAATCATGCTCTTTAGGAGCCTGCACCAAAATCTTTCTTTGCTATAGGGAAGTTCTCAGAACATAATCTCACTCCATCCAATGCTTTGCGGTTCCCCCTAAACCTGGGGTGGGAGGGGCTTAGTTCCTACACTGTGCAGATTCAAGTGGACACTGGATGCCAGGTGACCCTGGCTTCAGGAGTTGGCAAGGGATTTGCCCTGTGCTGAGCAGGAGTTCAATGAACTTTCCTTTCCTCATCCTGTTCTTCCCTGCTCTCTACTGCCTGCACAGCTGCTGCCATTCAGAGCAGCAACCCTGCTTCTAATGCTGGGTGATGCTGGGAATTCATTTAACATTTCTGAATGTCAATTTCCTCATTTGTTGCTCTAAAATCCTCTTCAGCGCTCAGACTCTCCCCACAATGAATGTGAAGGTTAAGTATAAATTTCTACTCCCATGTGCAAGGCACTCACTTCTCACCACTCCCTCACTTACACATTTTATAGAAGCTTCTGACAGTCTTTTGCAACTCCCTGCCCAAGCTTCTTTCCCCATGAACTCATTCTTCCCCCACTACCATCTCCCCTCAATGCATCTGTGTGTGTATTCTGTGTAGCCAACATTTAGAAGCCAATTAAAAGTAGAAAACTAGCCTTTCCCCCTTCCTCAACTCCAGGTTCCAGGTTAACTGCTCTCCCCTTACAGGTACTCACAGGGTTGTTAACTGACATTTGTTAAAACTGAAAAAGTATAGATACAGCAAAATGAATGTGCCATTTATTTAATGTCAGAAGTAAAAAATGATCTGTAACACAATTACATGTAACATCACCTGTTGCCTGGTGAAGTTTTACTGGGGGTAATTCTGAATAAGGTCCTTAATTAATCAGTTTTTTTATTTCATTTTATTTTCTGATCTGAGGATTAAATAAAGCATCTCCAGCTTTGCCCCAGGGATTCATGTGACTTTAGGAAATTAATTTGACTTTCTGTGACATAGTTTGCTTATCTCTAAAAGAGAACTAATAATAATCACATGCTCAAAGGCACTATGACCCTACCAGAAAGGCTCAGTACAAGCAGAAGCTAACAAATTTCAAACACTTCACAGGAGTAGAGAAATTAACAGTGTTGAGGCACAGTTTTGAAGAGGCAAGAGTTTTGAGAACCAAAAAGACAGAGAGAGAATGCCCAGTGATAGGGTATTTTTGCTTTCCACGTGCTAAGGCAGGCCAGTCTGGAAGCTTACCTCACAGTCGGCCTGATTCTTTCAGTTACTCAAGGAGAAAATACTAAGGTACCTTCATATAGGAAAGCAGCACTTGTAAATCACCAACAGTTGGATTAAGATCTTTGACTCCTTTTTCAATGAGAGGTGATTGTGTTGCCAATGGGTTTCAGCCCCCTGCAAGCTCGCTATGAATTCCATGAGACCAAGGAAATGACAGTAGAACGTTTCTTTGGGGTGAAAGGGTTTATTACCCGGCTTGCTCTCCGGCGGTAGGTCGAGCACTAGCGTCTTCGCCTCCGCGCAGAGCACTGGGCCGAGCTCTCTATATAGCACGTATCTTATTGCCTAAAGGTGTGGAAGCAGTAGCCTAGCAACTGGCCAGTTACATCATCAGGTGGTTTAAATTCAGTGAGGATCCTGGCCATAGGAACCGCAACTTCCCCACAGTGATGTAAAAAGAGGTTTTAGACAAAAGTCACTTCTGCAAGGAGTCAGAGCACTCTTTTCTAGCATTACTGGTTAAAAGTATAGAAGCTGTGGAGGCAAACAGATCACCTGTCATAAGGCCTGTGCCATTAGATATGGCCTCAACCACCATGTTCAGTGTGGCCCATGTGCCTTCAGCAAGAACTCCTGCTTGCCTCTTTCTCAACCAGACTGCCCCAGGAAGCCCCAGACGGGGCGGCTGGCAGGGGGTACTCTCAGCCCGTGTCCTCACCATGGTTTTACGGCTTCCCACAACCCTTCCAGCCAGCCGTCATCATAAGGTCCTTCCTCGATCCCAGCCCATCTGAGTCCCCTTATAGTATGCGGCAGTAAAGAGACACATTTCTAAATGTGAAATAATCTAGGAAGTCTTAGCCTTCCTCAGGGTGCTCAGTTAGTATTATAGAACAGTTAACACCGGAGTAAGATAAGGCTCAACTTCTGAAAAATCCTGTCCTTTTTCAGGTCTCCTGGACTTGTGAGCAACAAGCAAATATGACCACAGTGTAGTTTTCCTGTGGCAATCAATAACATCCGACAAAACAGCACTCCCAAAGGCGACAAACTGCTCACTGAGGAGTCACACTGAGAACGGTGTCCCTCCTTTCTGGAAACGGGGTCCCTTTCTGGGAGCGGGGTGTGGTTGAAATGACAGTTCATGGGCAACTGCCATTTCTCCAGCTGCTAACAATAAACCCTGCAACGAAGGCTATTTTCAAAGCACCCACCTTGTTGAGGACGTCTCGCTGGCAGCCAAGATAAAGATTGGGAAGAATTCGGGTTGGCCCGATGTTGGCAACAGGTAAGCAAGGCTGAGAAATGCAGGTGGGGACAAGAGTGGACTTCCCTTCACAGAGGCCAGGGAAACATCGGGAGAACTCAGCAAACCCACCTAAGAATAAACATTTAAGAATTATGTCATGCACAAAGATAAAAATCAGTCTTCTGTTAACTACTCAAATAAAACTGCTTAAAAAGAAAATCAAATCCCACAGACACATGCGGATACCACGCACCTGTGTTCCTGTCCATAGCTGCCAACTGCTCATTCTGATGGATAACCCAGCACTGAGTCTTGGCTGGCGGGGCCATGACAGGGATACGCAAGCCCCACCAGCACCAAACATGACTCCTTTCTCTCACCTCTTTGTCTTTATGGAGCCTACATTGTATCCCTGCTCCCCACCCACCATGTGAATGCTTTTTCAAGGAACTTAGAGGATTTAAAGAAGCAAACAATTGCCATAAGAAGAAAACAAATCCTACCATTTGCAACAACATGGATGGAGCTAGAGGGTATTATGCTCAGTGAAATAAGCCAGGCGGAGAAAGACAAGTACCAAATGATTTCACTCATCTGTGGAGCATAAGAACAAAGCAAAAACTGAAGGAACAAAACAGCAGCAGAACCATAATGTTGCTCATGTAATTGTACATTAATTATACCAAAAAAAAAACAAAACAGCAGCAGACTCACAGAACCCAAGAATGGACTATTAGTTACCAAAGGGAAAGGAACTGGGGAGAGTAGGTGGGAAGGGAGGGAGAAGGGGAATGAGGGACATTAGGATTAGCACACACAATGTAGAGGGGGGGGCATGCAGAAGGTAGCTCAGCACATAGAAGACAAGTAGTGATTCTACAGCATCTTACTACACTGCTGGACAGTGACTGTAATGGGGTATGTGGTGGGGACTTGAGAATGAGGGAATCTAATAACCACAATGTTACTCATGTAAGTGTACATTAATGATACCAAAATAAATAAATAACTCTTTGCAAACTAAAAAAAAAAAAAGAAGCAAACAACCCAGCCAAGACAACTATGCACAGAGGCAAAATGGGGATGTAAAGAATGTGAAGTGAGGCTAGATATTATTTCTTCAAAGTAAAACTAATTAAGTTAAAAATTCTTTCTGGAAGTAACTTTAAATCGTCCTACTATACAGGTTTTTTTCCCAAAGGTATCACAAACATACCGCTAACTCCTACAAACCTTCTCTGTGTATCAAGTCCTTGGGATTCCCTGGGCAGTTAGTCAAGGTTCCCTCAACTCCCACCGATCCCTGGGGTCTCCTGTTCATTTTGCTGAGCACTACAGAGAAGTGCTGACAGACCCTAATTGCTTAGGGCACATGAAGGCTTTGTGGCAAGATTCCTGGACCTGGAAGAATTCTGTTTTTTTCCTGTCTTGTCCTTATAACGATCTGCTCTAGATCTTCACTAAGTCCCAATCTTACCATTACTTAATGAAGAGAAAGCCATAGGAAATCCATTTTTTTCTTTTCCCAAGTCCTTTGAGAAAAGGAGAAAATGAATAAGGTCTTCGCTGTGTTTTCCACTCTAAACATCTCTTGCTATCCAAATCCAAACCTAGGAACTAAATAGATTCTGCAAATTTTTTTTGATAAATCCCTTGCTATGCAAACCTTCACTACTCACTAAGTTTAAGTTCAAACTCAGGAACTGAAGAGATTTGGATCATAAGGAATACGTGTATACTTTTAATATTATTCGAATAAAAAAACAATTAGCATGGTAAGTCTTATTAGAAGACAAGGCAGCCCAACTTTTACCTCTTTAATCATAGCCTTAAACAAGACCCTAAAATCTCATTGAATATTTATCTCCATTTCCTTGAGTTATATTCTACTAGCCTTCAGAACACTTCCAGAAGCATACAAAATGTGCCCTCAGAAACTGCAGAAGTGCAGAGTTGGGAGGGGAAGCGGTCGTCCCTTAAACCCCCTGTATTATGTTAGACACAGTACGGTCTGCTGGACTCCTGTGTCTACTGCCTAGGCTCAGTGTAGGCAGGTTCCACAGTGCAGCAAACCAGGATGGCAGGAAGTGGGGGACAACTAAACCAACTGCAAAATGTAAACGTGCCGCCCTCCTTGCCTCCACCCTAAGCATTTACCCTGGTTTTACTCATAACACATTTGCTTGCTAAAGTTCTTAAGGTAACCAGATGGAAAAGTCAGGTGTTCCATTACAGAAATCCCGAAATCCTCTACGGGACAGATGGACCTGTACAGTTTCATGGCTTTCTTTCTTTCTTTCTTTCTTTCAAAAAATTTTTATTAAGGTATTATTGATACACACTCTTATGAAGGTTTCACATGAAAATACAATGTGGTTACTACATTCACCCATATTATCAAGTCCCCATCCATACCCCAGTGCAGTCACTGTCTATCAGTGTACCATGGCTTTATTTCTTACCATTTCCAAACATGACCTCCAGCCACACAAAATTCATTGTTATTTCACACCCATGCTGCTCTCCCATCTGGGGATACCAGCCCCGGGCATATACTTCCAGCATTCCAAGCACACATATACAAGCCCCATGATCGTGCAGCAGAGAAGGTAAGAAAGAGCACAGGCTACTTGTAGCACCTGGGCTGATGTATATTTAGGACCCAGCCTCATCCATGAGGCCTTCCTCCACCCTTGATCTGCAGCTAATTGTTCAGCTTCACCTTGACAGCATTCACTATAGACACCAAGTGAAAAAAGCACATCTGTGGTTACATTTCCCAGTGTGCTCCTGAGCACTGGTGACCCTAGGACGTTAACAGCCCAGATAATGGTTCAAAAGGTAAAAGAAATACTGCACATCCCATCTCCCAGGGGGAGTCACAGCACTCATTACCATATGAAAGGCTCCAAAAAGCATCTCCAAAGAAACTAGTTTAATTTATTTAACGCAAACAAGAGTCCCGTATGTATCTGACCATGGTATTCCTCCTCCCATTTCCTGCCCTAAAGTCTGTTAGTAGCTAGTGGACCTCACACACAAGGAAACACTCTACCAGGGACACTGCAGCCGCTGAAATGGAGTTGGTTAGAACTCCTACACCTCCAAGTATAACCCACTGACAATCGCAAAAAAGAGGGCAGCCAATACCGGCACATGAGTATGAAGGTCACTCTTTGGGATTTATAATTTTGTTTCCATTAGTGCTTTGTTCCTTTTCTAACTGGATAATACCATTATTTAAGTTGAGGTTTTTTTCCCCCCAAATTAGTTCCTGTAACAATAAATGTTAGAGTCTTACCATTCTTTGCCTACCTTAGACCTACCCAACACAGTAACTAAACATAAACTATTTTAATTATATTCTATTGTATGAGCTTAAAATTTAAGTTTCTGTTAATTTCCCTGCTTCTGGAGTTTCTCTAAAGAACTGTTCTAATACTATTTTTCTCTGCTGGCTCCAAAACAGTCCATGGGCTGGTCTCATTTAAACTCAACAATACTCTAGAGTAGATGTTTCAGAGAAAAGAGAAACCAGACAACCCAGGGGAACACCACTTGAATTCTGAAAGGAAAGGAGCGACACATAGCAGCAATTCACCAGAGAGTTCCGCTTTATTAGGGAAAGGTGCTGGGTTATATAGGAAGGGGCATGAATTGATTGAGGTGTCACTTCTATGGGGCTGTTGGCTGTTGGCTAGGTGCTGGGATTGGGAGGGGAGCGAGAGGTGATTGGGCTTCAGGTGGCGCCGGCGGGAACTGAGGACCCCGAAGAGAAGCCGGAAGTTTGCCATCTTACTGGTGGGGACCCTTCATTCCCCCCTTTCTCCTCTATGGGTTTGTGGACGTTGCTTTCTCTCTGGCTGCTTCCTGCTGAACAGGGGCGGAGAAGGGAGTGAGGGCTTGAGGATTGGGAGGAAAGGGTTGATAGGACTCCCCGCAGTAAGGACGAGTAGATGTGGACTTCTTCAGGTTTGGAAATCAATGAAGGTTCCCTGTAACCATAGGTTGAGGACCTGTTGATTCCAATGGTGCCAAGAGGATATGGGTGTCAGGAGCCAGGCGTCTGCGGCCATTGTTTCCAGGAACAGTTTCCAGTGGAGAGAGGGGTCCATCTCAGCGTGTGGTGAGGAGGTCACGTGAGGGTGAGGGATCTTCTGTGGCCAGAAGCTGGTAGTTCCTGAGTAAAAGCTGGTTGAAAGCTTGATTAGAGATTTTTCCGACTTGGGATTTGATGAACTTTATTATACAGGGTAAGAAGAGACAGGCGAGAAGAATGATTATTATGGGGCCTGCAATGGGCCAGAGCCAGGTGAGGAGGGGGTTTGTTAGTATTGAAGAGAATGGGTTGGAATTGGAAGCAGAGTGGAGGCTGGAGGCAAGGTCGGTGAGTTTGGTGATGTCAGTTTCTACAATGCCAGATTCGTTGATGTAATAGCAGCACTCTTCCTGGAGGAAGACGCAGGTGCCGCCCTTCTCGGCTGTAAGCAGATCTAGGGCCCGCCGGTTTTGAAGGGTGACTTTAGCTAGCGAAGTGACCTGTCTTTGGAGAGAGGCTAGGGAATCGGCAGTGGATGTCAGGGCTCCCTCAAGTTTGGCGTCGAGATCTCTAACTGCCCATAGAGAGTGACCCAAGGCTCCTCCCGAAAACCCTGCCCCAATGGCTGAGGTGATCAAAGAGATACTGACCATGATGGGAAGGAAAGCAGCCCTCTTTGTGTGCGAGGGCAAGGGAGGTTGGAGCTCAAGGAATTCTGCCATGCTGTAAAGTGTAAGCTGTGGGATTAGGGTGACGAGAATGCAGGGTGTATCGGAGTTGAGAGGCAGTGAGTTGAAAAGACTGCCATTACACTAAAAGAAGTGTCCCGGTTGCGTAAAAGTCTTAGAGCCGGAGGTAGGGGTGTAGATAGAGAGGCAGTGAAGTGCACTGGAGGGGGGTGGAGTTGGGCCTACACAGTGGTGGATGGTGAGATTATCTGCGTATTCTGGTTCCCATAGGGGTATGTCTGCCAGGGGGCAGAGGGGTTGTCTTTCTGCATGGAAGGAGTAGTTGGAAATATTAAGGGGCACGGCGGCCAGCAGTGGGCGCTGTAGTGATGCGCACAAGAAACAATTGGCTGTGTTAAGGG